CAAAAAAAAAAAAAAAAGAACCTTTCAGGAAAGTTTTCAAGCATTCAAAAGAAATTGAGATACACATTAGGGTGGCACATAGAACTCCAAATAGTCATGCTCAGAAAAACTGTACCAAAGCATGTAATAGTCAAGACTCCAAAAATTCAATACAAGGCCAGCCGGATAGCTCAGCAGACTAAAGCACCTGCTTAGGCTGAGCGCAGCGACCAGAGTTTGATCTCCAGCATGCCATGCCAGCCCCACCCCCGCGGCATGCTGAGACGGTGATTGAGACTGGGCATGGTGGTGAATGCCTGTAGTTCCAGGGCTTGGGAGGCTGAAAACAAGAGGATAACTACGAGTCTGATCTGTGTAGTGAGATCTTGTAGACATTGTACTAAAATACATTTTTTAAAAAAGGCTCAAAGGCAAAAATTCAACACACACACACACACACACACACACACACATTCAACACAAGAATAAAATAGTAAAAACTGTTAAGAGAAAAAATAGACCCTACTGAGCCTTTTGGGAAGCCAGCCCAAATTCCATTCTAATGAGCCTATTAATCTCCACTGCCTTAAGCCCGTCAGTGGATTCTCATTGTTACGACAGTAAAATGTGAACTCCTCTCCCCATGGCTCAGAGGGACAGCACGGCCAGGCCCCTACCTAGCTCTCCACGCCACATGCCCATCTTCTTTTCCCAGCCACCACACTTTGCACACTGGCTGCCCTTTATGTCTGCTCCCTTCCGAGCTGCTGCTCAGGACTCTGGGTTGCATTCCTTTCTTCTCTCTGCACGAAGCACAGCTTCTCCCTAGCTCTCAGATGGTGCTCCTCAGAGTCGGTCCCTCCAGCCCCCATCAGAGCACCTACACCCAACCAGCATTGCTATGATTAAACTGGTACATTTGTTTTCACTTGCAAAGGTGGTGAGGGAAGCTGATCCCAGCAAAGGATGGGAGCAGCAGGTGCACAGCATGTTTCTGGAATATCAGATGTCCACTGTGGGACCAGGAATATAACTCAGTGGCATAAGCACCTGCCTGGCAAGCACAAGGTCCTGAGTTCGATTCCTGATACCAATACAAACAAAAATGTCCACTGTGCATAGGAGGGGAGCAGGTGGCAAACATAGTCAAAAGGCAGTTTTAAAAGACAAGCTGAAGTAGAACAGTAGTATCTAGGGACTGAGGGGGTGGTGGAGAAAGGGCAGTTACTGCTTGCTGAATACAGAGTTTCAGTTTGGGGTAATGAAGCTAGAGACAGGTAGTGGGGGAGATAGTGACGAAATAGATAGTGGCAATATTTCACAGCAGTGAGAATGTGCTGAGTGTCACTAAACTGTACACATAAAATGGTTAGAATGCTATATAATATGTCATATATATTTTACCACAGTAACACCCCAGACTACAGAAATTAGCCAGAAAGAAAAAAGGAGAGACATGAGATCAGGTCAAGTAAAGCAGATTGGAGAGAAAGATAACTACTTTAGCCTGGCATCAACTGGAGCCTGCCGGAAGGCTCTGGCCAGGGAAAGGAGCACAGTCAGGCAAGAAGAAAGAAGATTTTGCCTACCACGAGAAGGGGGCTTAATGGGCCAGGCTTCACCTGTACACGTCCTCTTGTCTTCATTCAAGTTGTAGCCAGGGAAGCAGTCACAGTGGTAGGACGCAGCCCCATCACTCACGCAAACATGCTGGCAGCCGTGAGTGCCCAGAGCACACTTGTCACGGACTGGCCAGGCATGCGGCAGGAAAGAAAATACCCACATGTTAATGAAATGGGCCACAAAACACAAACCTCTGGGAGAAAAAAGCATCACTTGGGTCCAATCAGCATTGAGAATGAGTCCTTCCAGAGCCAGCCACAGCCCCATATCTCAGGTGAGGGCCATTTCCATTCTTTGATATGGCCCTGGGGCCGCAGATAGCTCCGTCCTGTTTCTCTCCTGCAGCTCCCTGAGAATCACTTCGCTTTGTTCTTCTGCCAACAGCACCGGAAGGCACTGAATCTTGGTGATGTCCCAGAACTCACCTGGAGCAGCTCTGATGACTGTCAACACCTCCACGTGCAGGGGTCATCAGCACAAATAATCTATTAAGGACCTCGCTGTACATAGAGCTAAGCTTGAGGCTGCACAGAAAGGCCTACATTGACCAAGCACCTGCCCTTGACAGCTTACAAAATGGGACAAAACATTGCTGGTGGGGAGAGACAGGCACAAATACACAAATATGCACATTCACAAACACAGGCAGAGAGAAAAATAATAACGTTAATAAGAATCATAATGATGATGTATATGATCGGACAGTGAGGGATTTATTATTATCAAATCAATAACATTTTAGGGACATCAACAATTTGCCCAAATAAGTAGAGAGCAGAAAAAAGCACTCTAAAAGTCTCATGTCCAAATTAGCCCAGGATTGGGCCGGCCAGATAGCTCAGTGGATTAAAGTGCCTGTTTAGGCAGAGCACAGGGCCCTGGGGTGTGCTGAAACGGCAATTGAGACTGGGTGTGGTGGTGCACGCCTGTAATCCCAGCACTTGGGAGGCTGAAAAATAGGAGGATCTCTATGAGTCCAGTCTGTGTAGTGAGACCCCATAGACTTTGTACTAAATACACTAAAGCAAACAAAAAAAAAAACAAAAAAAAAAAAAAAAAAAAAAAAAAAAAAAGTGCCCAGGTTAAGGAGCTATTCTCCTTTAATAAATCCAGAAAGGCTTCCTGGGAAATATAAGTCCTCCCTCTGCTCCTGCAGGGACCACTGCAGTTTATTTGCTCCCTTCTGACTCTCTTCTTAAACATCACACCATGCTCAGACTCCTTCCACGATGCACTATTGCTTGTAGACGAGCTTTACAGGAAGGGCAAGGTGCTACACAACCGGCCCCTAAACCACTTTTCCAACCATCATGTACATACTTCCTTTTGTCACTACAATTTAGGCTTTTGTTCAGAAAAATACTTGATAGAAGCTGGGGAGATGGCTCAGTAGAAAAAGCGCTTCTCTGGAAGCACAAGGGCCTGAGTTCAATCCCCAGTTCCGCAAAAAAAAAAAAAAAAACTTGGTAGCAGAACATTTAATTTTCCCCTCTGCCCAGCTGAGCACTCGGTACACACAGCAAGTGGACATGCTTCCAACCCTGGTATTGACCTGGGGCTCATGTCTCCTTTATTAACCTTCCTGTTGCCAGCAAGAGGAATGGAAGAAGGCAGGGCTCGTGTGGACCCCAGCTTCAGGAGTGTATTATTCATTACTACTTTATAACATATATGCAAGCTTCCCAGCACTCTGCCTCTCCTCCAACCCTCTGTGCTCTTTGGTGCTTTTACAGTGAGACAGCATTCTGAGTGGTTTCAGCTTATAGAACCATGGGAGTGCGGGCCTAGGTTCAAACCCTCACTCTGCTACTCATAAGCCAGGTGGCCTGAGCAAGTTCCTCAGTCTGCCTGTAGCTCAACTTGCTCCTACTGTTGCTGTGCGCGTGAAAGGCATTCCTCGGTGTGTAAAATGCTTAATCCCTTGCTTGGGCCACATAGGAAGGATGTTCACTACATCCTTATTTGGAGTATTGTCAAACCGAAAATTTTCTTTGATGTTTTATTTTTTAATAAAATGCTTCATATTGTTCCATAACATGCTAATTTAAATAAAAATATGCTTTTCTGGGTCCCTTGCTTTCCCACAGTTGAAAGCACTCACTGGATGCTCGTAACTAGCTGGAGTGAGTCCTCCCTATCCCAGCTCTCCAACCTCCTCCCTGCAGGAACAGCAGCAGCCAGCCCTGCCCACACCCTCCTCTCCTGGAGAGTCCGGCTCCAGCCCCAAGCTCAGGGGCCTCCCCCACCTTGTCAGCCTCCACAGCCCTTCCTGTGGAAAGAATCTTTCCCACCCAAAGCTATAAACTGCTCTGCGCACCATAGGAAATATTATATCCACACAGTGCTTAGTGCCTATCCTGGGAACAGAGTGGGTGCTCAAAACTTTTCCTGACTTCATGGGTATTTTTTTAAATTTATACTTTAAATTTATCTTGATTAGTGCATACTTATCAAGTATGTGATCACATGTATCTTGGGGAGTTGGGACAAGGACATAACACACCTCAATTATTTTTGCCCTCCATCTCTCCCTGCACCTGCTGCCTCATGATCCTCCTCGCATCTGCAAAGGCTCTACTTCCATCTTTTCTCCTTTCACTTCTTCTTTCTTCCTCTTTCCCTCTCTCCCCCCTACCTCCTACCACCTCTTTTATTTTGTTCTTTATTCACATTTTAGGGAGCTGGTTGTTACCTCTATCTGTCTTGATGAGATGCTGGAATACAGCTCCTCAAGGGATAGAAAAGACATGCAAAGCTCAGAAAGCATTCGACATGCAAAAACTAAGCACTACCTCGAGAGCTGGGAGTTTCTCTCCTTTAGGAGTGCTTTTCCACTTATAAATGCTACCTTGTTCTTCCCGTGAGTTTAAATCAAACTAATGAGACTCGGCAGTCCTGCCAAGGGCTCCTGAGCAAGGTCATAATGCTCAGATTCACTGAAGAATGATCAGCTAGAAGCCATTGGGGAGCGTCCTGCTGCAGGGTTACTGGAAGGTCTGTGTAGGTCTAACTCAGGCCCTTACAAAGTCTTCTTTACTAAGTGATCCAACTTTATAAGACTAATGCGACAGAAAAGTTCCAGGCTAAGTTTTAATTGGAAAAAGATCAGTTCAGCCTATCACATCAAATAGTTACTGTCCAACTGACTTCCTTCAAAGTCTGCTACTTGCTCAAAAACTCCCCAGTGTCCAGGGTTATAAAATTTTTATGAACAAGGACGTTACATTTAATTAGCTTTTTCATTGCCCCTACTCCCTACCCATTTCCTAGCATTTTTCTTCTGAAGCGATCTGTCTTTGCCACAGCCAGTGGGCTCACCACCCATGTAGCACCCAGTGCATAGCTGCCCGTGTACAGTCGGTCAGCAGACTGAAAGAAGGAAGACTCTCTCCTTCTATCTGAAGTAGACTTCACTGCCACAGAACCCAAGTGTGAACAAATCTGCTGAGGAGACCTTACCTGAACATGTTTTCTTATCTGCATTCAGCGTGTACCCCTCGAAGCATTCACAGTGATAAGACCCGGACCTGTCATTCACACAGATGTGCTGGCAGCCGTGGGTACCAGAAGCACATTTGTCTTGGGCTGTCACACAAGTCAAGAAAAAAGAAATGAAAACTAAATATCTTTTATTACCCACATATTTAGAAATTCAAATGTTATTTGAAGAAATAAAAGGAAAACTTATTGATGGTACTCACAAGCCATCAGAAATATTTGCTCCAAATGGTGGTTAAGGGAATTAAATAAAATCCTACACACACAGTCATTATTGTCCGGCCTTCTCCAATTTACAAAATAATCAGTTTGAGGTTTTATAATCTAAGGATTTCATAAATAGTTTCTAAAGCATTTTGGTTTATTATATATTATACATTTGTTGTTTTGTTTTGTTTTGTTTTGTTTTGTTTTGTTTTGTTTTGTTTTGTTTTGGTGGAACCAGGGATTGAACTCAGGCCCTTGTGCTTGCCAGGGAAGTGCTTGTTCCACTGAGCCATCTCCCCGGCCCCCACTTAGTTTGTTGTATATTATCATAACCCAGAGAAATTGTTTGTCTAATTGCACTAGATTTGGAAAAGCAGAGTTAAGAATTGGAAGGACTTGTACATGTGTCCTAGAAAGGCCAGTTGATTCAGGGCAGTGTCAGAATTCAAGATCCAAAATTTTCATCCAATGTGCTTTCTTCTGCCTGGATATATTTTTAAGCTACTTTTTTAGATTTTTAAACTTTTCATTTAGAGATAACTTCAGACTTATGAAAAGAACACGGAAACAGAGCTAAGATCTCATTTTACTCTGCTTCTCCAAATTGTAGCAACTTACACAACACTAGTATGGTAATCAAAATTACACCTTATCATTTGCAAGCCCCGAGGATGCAGCTTGGTGGCACGAGTGACTGCCTGGCAAGCGCACGGTCCTGAGTTTGATTCCAGGTACCGAAAGAAAAATACATTATGATTTGAGAACCTGTGCACTTTATGAAATGTTGCCGGTTGTTTCATTAATGTCCCCTTTCTAGTCCATTAAGCGTTCACACCTTAGTGTCCTGTAATCTAGGCCATATTTTCTGCCTGCGTTTGTCTATTATGACTTTGACCCTCTTAAAAAGTACTGGCAATTACTTTCTGAACTAAAAATGTCTTTCCATTTGAGTCTGTCTGATGTTTCCTCATGATTTGGAGTTCTTAGAAAGAATACCACAATGGTGCTGTCCTAGCCTCAGTGCAGGCCATCACTACGGTCATCATGGTGACAGAAAGTCTGATCTCTCAGCCGCCATGGTATCTGCCAGCTCTCTCCACTACCAAGTTATGGTGTTGCCCTCTCTGAGCAATAAGTATCTTCTGGGATATTACTTGATGTTCAGTCAGCATTTGAAAGAACTGTGAAGGCC